GGGTTAGCCAAACTAAAACTTGTGTCAGATCTGAACTACTCTAATATGCCACTCAAAGGCCCTCTTATAGTCTTATTTGTAGACAGAATCAAAGCCACGAAATCCATGTTCCATCAGAATCTCGTGCTTCTAAAACTTTCCAATCTTTCTATATGAAGAAAAAACATATTTCAACCGCACATCTAGAGATTGCCATGAAGTAAGCAGTCATACTCATCAACTCTAGTAACTAAAAGCAAGAACTATTTCAACCAAAAAAAGAAGAAGCAAGAACTAATGCATGGTAGTCATGATGACAACAATTGATGCGACTCTTGTTCTCTGTAGCAGTACACACGGTTAAATTCCTGAAACTCACATAGACAAACACTCACTTTAAGGTCCCGAACAAGATATTGTTGCTAATGAAAGAGCTCCGTCCTTGCTGCGGAACTACCATCAGCACTGATATACCCATTTGGGGACAGAAGCACGACGTATAATAACCCTGAGGCTAGTTTCTTTCCATTTTCGATGTAGGATATTTCTACAGCGCATCTAAAGGTTATCATGAAACTGCAACCATACTCTCTAGTATCCTAAAAGAAAAAGAAAAAAAAGCAATGACAACAAAAGGGACCACTCTATGCTCTTCGGTACTCAGTAAATACAATTCCTTCTCTTCTATAGGCTATATTACTGCAACTAAAATAGAAAGCACAAGAGAAGCTTATCCACATGAAATCAATAGAAGTCCATAACAAGCTAAAGCATAACCATTCACATGGCAGCATAAGAACTTCTCAAGCTAGAATGACGAATGAAATTCCAGGAAGATCTTTGGTTCAGTCAAATTGGGCCATGAATCATTTTACCAGAAAAAGGTATTGAAACGTTTACCTCTAGTTAGCTCTTTCCACCATTCTGCTTCTAGAGTAGGATCTCATCATCACCAAAATCGACCAAGTCCACCTCATCAGCACCAATATCGACTAAGTTCACCGCATTCGCGATCAAGTTCGCTTCATATACCACACCCTCATTACCATTGTTAAGCTTCACAAGACTCCCTGCCAGGACTACTACTTCAAAATAATCTGACAGACCGCTAACTCCGACCTCATCCACCTTCTTACTTATCAAATCATAGCAAACAAACTTGTTACTATCCTGAACAAGCAAAACCTTGGATCCATCGCCCACATAAGCAACAGGGAGCATGAATTCGAAAGTAGGCTTTTTCGCTGGCTGACTCACCGTCAAAAGTTTACCCCACGACTCTTTAACCCCGTACTCCTTCATCACCCACAGATCAATTCTCTTCAGATAGTAATTAGCTGTTACAGCGAGGCAACCTCCAAGTTCTCCCACATTCAGGTGAAATTTCCTCCCCCCATAATTGGGCTGTTCAATCACTCGATACTCTTCACTACAGAGATCCAATGCAACGATAGATTTCTCACCTTCAGATCCACTGCCCCTATAAACCACCCAATGCAGAGCATTGTTCACATGAACCCCATGGCACCTCTTGAACACAAGTTCATAAGGGAAATCCCTAATCCGCCGCCACGAATTTTCCTTGAGGCTGTCGACCTTAGCCACGGAGAAGCAAGGACGATTACGAAAGCCGGGAAATTGGACCAACCTAACCAACTTGTAATCGTCGTGAACAGAGTCATACCCGAAACCATAGACGATAAAATCGAAGAACATGTTCTCCGGAGGGTACTCGAGCTCCGTCTCAGGAAGCCTCCGATGCTCACGGGTGATAGGGTTCCAGATCACGATTTCCTCTTCGGAATTGTAGAGCGCGAGCAAACCATTGCAGCAGCCGAGGATCTCTGTTCCGAAGAACGGAGTATCCAGAGGGTGATTCAGCTTCACGAGGCCGTCCAAACTCTTGAAATCCAGAGAACGGAGAGAGCCGTCTCTGAGGATGAGACTGAGATTGGAAGGGGTTTTGGCGGAGTGGTGGAGATGGAGTTGGGCGAAAGCGGGACTGTCGATTTCGGAGCACCATGACTTGGATAGGCAACGGAAGCGAAGCAGCGACTTCGCCGGCAGGCGGCAGAGCGTGGCCGCTATTAGGTCGGCGGGAAGACTTCCGTTTTTCGGCATTTTTGCTGCAACTGACGGCTGTGCTTTTCCCGAAACTTCTTTTCGAGTTCTTTGGTGGCAGACGGAGATCTTCACTCGAGCAGTCTCGAGCTTTTGAAGTGGCTAATTGGGAGAAACGGTCACTAAGCTTTTGCCGAATAACAATATGCCCGCATAAGTTTTGAAAATCACAGAATCATCACTTTGTTATTTAAAATTAGCAATTGTTTTTCTAATTCCATACACCACATTCCTTCTCTCAATTGATAACCCCATTATAAACATGTACTTATATGCATGTTAATCTATTTTTTCCACTTTAACATATTAATGGTTCGTCTTTATTTCCTAAACAAAATTGCCGGTGTAACTTTTTTTTGAATATTTTTCCTCCAAAAGAGTAGTCGTTACTTTGTGAACGTTACTTGATTTATGTTGTGTAAGCGCTTCTATATATCATTTATTATCATTATTTTATATAGCACATTACTATTTCTTACAAGTATTTTGTCTTTTTGTATACACATAACTATAATTCTATAACCATTTATTCATCATTTCATATAGCATATAACCTTTATAAATGACCAATCTTTATTATCATCAATTCAAAGCTCATTTGAAATCTCTTCCCAATTTGTAACGGGAAAAAGGTCATATCTTCATTTCTAAACAACACATCGATCGACGATCATAACTTTCTCAAAGGATTCATCATCTAGAGAAGAATGACAAAAGTAGACGACTACGTACAAAACCATTACTGCTACTACAGGCAGTCGGGTGAAAGTTCATCACGTCGTCGGCCAACACGCCCTGTGGCAACAAAACATATCGATATCCGATATCTATCGCGTCCTAAGCCAACACGCTCTATGACAACAAAACATATCGATACTCGATATCTAACAACTTGACCATTGTTCCTATCCGCCACAATTGGACACAGGTGCCAAAGGGTTACTCAAGCAAGAAGGATAGAGCCAAGTGCATCATTAGTCGTTACAAGATCATACTTATGCACACTACCATTACTAGGTCATACTTACTTAAACTACGACTCTGCTATTCTACTCTTAGTTAATAAAAAGAGGACATCGCCATCATCGGCGTCGCTCCTGTCTGTGTCTCCTCTCCCACAGCCTGAAACAGAAAACCATTTACCAGTATTCAATTCATTGGTGAGGGTTCCTACTCTGGAAAGCAAAACAAGAACTCGATGCTCCATTAGAAACCAAGACATACTGCTTTGTTATTCATCTTTCTATGAAGGATATTTCTATTGCATAAGGGCATACCTACAGGTTAACATCAAGTTTGCAGTTATACAGTCTAGTATTCCTAAAGACCTAAATCACAAGGCTAAATTACTTAAACCAACATACAAGTCTCCATCACTTTTCATGGCCACATTGCTCACATGACAGCATACTAACTCTCTAAGCTAGAATGAAGAATAAATTCCAGGAAGATCTTCTGTTCAGTCAAATTAGGTTGTTAATCAATTTATCAGAGAGAAGGTACTTAAAGTTGGAACTCGTACCTCTCTCCTTGGTTCTCCCCACCATTGTTCTTCTTCTTCTTCTAGCTCTGATTCTCATCAGCACCGGCTCCGACCAAGTTTACTGCATTTGCCACACCCTCACAGCCGCTGTTAAGCTTCACGAGGCTACCCGCCAGCAATGTCACTTCAAAATACTTCGACAGACCTTCAACTCTGACCTCATCAACCTCCTCACTTCCCAAATCATAGCAAATCAACTTGTTATTATCCTGAACAAGCAAAACCTTGGAGCCATCACCCACATACGCAACAGGGAGCACGAACTCGAAAGTATACGGTTTAGCTGGCTGTCTCAACGTCACAAGTTCAGTCCACGACTCTTTCACCCCGTATTCCTTCATGACCCACAGATCAACCCACTCCGGATGGTAATTCGCCACGATAACGAGGCAGCCTCCCAGCTCCTTCACATTCAAGTGAAATTTCCTCTCCCCATAATCGGGCTGCTCAACCACTCGATATTCCTGAGTTCCCAAATCCAGTGCAACTATCAACCTCCCACCTCTAGATTCATCTCTGCCAACCACCCAATGCAGAGCATTGTTTACGAGAACTCCATGGCACCTCTGGTATCTAAGGTAATAAGGAAAATCCCCAATTCCCCTCCATGCATTTGCCCTAAAGCTGTAAACCTTCGCCTCCGAAGAGGAAACACCATCTCGGTAAAACTGAGCCAGCCTGACTAACTTGTAGTCGTCGTGAACAGAGTCGTACCCGAAGCCATAGACGACGAACGCGCACCTGGAATCCCCCGGAGGAGGCTCGATCTCCGCCTTGGGGAGCATCCGGTGCTCGCGAGTGGTAGGGTTCCAGAATGCGATTTCCTCGTCCGAATTGCGGAGCGCGAGCAGTCCGTTGCAGCAGCCGAGGATCTCGGTTCCGAACGTGTGAGCTTCGAGCGGGTGGTCCAGCTTCACGACGGCGGCGTCGAGGCGTTCGAGGTCCACGGAGGAGAGAAAAGAGTGTCGGAGGACGAGGCTGAGGTTGGAGGCGGTTGCCGTGGAGTTTTGGAGGTGGAGTTGGGCGAAAGAGGGACTGTCTATTTCGGAGCACCATGACTTGGAGAGGCAGCGGAGGCGGAGCAGTGATTTCGCCGGCAGACGGCAGAGCGTGGCCGCTATCATGTCCGCCGGGAGACCTTTTCTCGCCATTTTGCTCAACAACTCGACAGTCGCTCGCCGAAACCTAGTTTCCACTCGCGCTCCTTGAAACGTTTATATTTCCGTTTCACTTTTAGTTTTTCTTTAGGCCAAATACACTTGTATAGCCAAAACTTTGACGGTTTTGCCAAATATAGCCACTTTTGGAGAAATACCAATAATAGCCAGATTTTTGAAAGTTTGATGACAATAATAGCCATTTCCGTTACATAATTTAACGGCGTCAGTGACACCGTTAGTTAAATTAACGGAACGCTGACTTGGCTGCCAACTCACCCTCCATTTCATTTCCAACTCAGCACTCACACGACACGTCATTTACAAAAATAAAATAAAAAAAAATAAAAAATTCGCCCTATCCCTATTGACCTAATCTCTTCGAACCCTCTTCTTTCTCCTCCAGCAACCCCTCTTCTTCTCCATCAAAACCAGCAGCTGCCGCCGGTCAGTCCTCGCCACCGCTGCCAAGATCGATTGTTTCAGCTCCTGATTTTGCAGAGTTCTCTATCATTGCTGCCACCTTCAGCAGGCTTAGTTTCTCGTTGGAATTCACTTCACCTGCAAATCAGTGAGGCAAAAACACAAACAGTTGGCATGCATCAAACTTTACACGAAATTTTCGACCCCCATAAAAAATGAAATCTGAAACCCAAGCTTCCCACAAGACGAGAAATCTGAAACCCAGTTTCCTTGGCAATTTTGACACCTGGGTCGTCGAATCCGGCCGATTTCTCCACCTGGGAATCGCCAGAGACAAGCAAAGAAGCTCGCTGGATCAACCCACCGAGCATCTCGAACATCTCGTCGAGTAACACCTCCGCCGAATCTTCCTCCTCCGGCGGCGACACCAACAAGCTCAAGCTCTTCGGGTTCGAGTTCGAGTTCGACCCCCACCCACCCACCCACGGCCAAACCCATCCTCCGGCGGCCGCTGACGAGAGCGTGAACTCCTCCTCCAGCACCGCACAGATCGCGAACAGAACGCCGCCGCCGCCGTCGAGGAGTAGGCTGCGGTGCGAGTACTGCAAGAAGCTCCGTCGCCTCATGATTTCGGTGACGGTATCCACGAAAGGCGGGCGACGGAGCTGCTGGCCCGCCGCCATCGTTGGATTTCACGGCCATGGCTGCTGCCTAGGAGAAGAGATGAGGATGTGATGTGCGGAGAGGTGACGGCGGCGTGGATTTGTGGAAGTTTGGTGGCGGCGGGGATTGGGGATTTGGTGGCACGAAATCGTCGCCTACGAGGCCGGCGATTTCAGCGAGGGTAGGGGAGAAGCAGGGATTGGGTCTTGAATGGGACGGCGGAGCAACTGAGTATCTAAGTGGAGCTAGGGATTTGAATGGGGCGGCGGAGGAACTGGAGAGGAAATCGAAGTGGATGGTGGATTTGGATTTGGAGAGGCAGAGCAGGGATTGGGTCTTGGAACCTCTGCTAAGGCTTGACGGGAGGAAGGTGGTGAATGGGGCAGATGGATTGAGAGCTCGCATGGTGGAGATTGGAGAAGAGGAAGCTTCTGGTAGGAAGTATTGATGAAGGTGAACAGGTGGTGGTGGGGAGAAGAGATTTATTTTTGTTTTTTTTTTAATTTAATTTGATTAAAAATATAAGTATAAAATTTTAATTATTTTCCATCTAACATTATTTTTTAATAAAATATGCCACGTCAACCACTGCTGTTAGTCCAGTGAGCACGTTAATTAACACCGTCAAACAATTGGACGGAATTGGCTATTTTTTGTATTTCGCCAAAATTGGCTATATTTGGCAAAACCGTCAAAGTTTTGGTTATGCAAGTGTATTTGGCCTTTTCTTTATCAGTTTATCTTGAAGGGTAAATTATTTTCCCACCAAAAAAAAATTACTAAGAGGTATATTGCAAGATTGATCACTCACTACTAAAATGTTTCACATTTTGGTCACTAAAAACATTTCATTACATTTGTGATCATTACAAAATTAATTTAATATTTCATTTTTATCATTTTTTCTTAGTCTCTGTCAGCCTTCATTATAACATTAGTTTGATGCTGACGTGGGTAACAAAATTGTCTAATCATACTATTTTAACCCAAAAAAGTTTATATACTCGACCAATCACGTTGGTGAAACCCGCCACATCATCAAAACGAACCAACCCATAACCACGCACTCTATCAAAGTTTGGAAGACCGTGGTGCGCCTCCGACCGAAGACAAACGGCAAGCCCAAATAACGCCCCAAGTCATCCATGAAACTGACGCCTAGAAAAAACATAAAAGTAGATTGCAAAGCAGGCGCCAGGAGGATGTTGCCACTAAAGACGATTACTGACTTTGACAAGTTCATTTTCTGACCAGAGGCCTTCTCATAAGTACACAGTTTTCTTTTGGATCGATGCATTTAAAGGTTTACACCTCTGCAATTGATATCATCCAAAATGAGCGGGTCATTTGAGAAGATATGAGACAAAAGATGATGTGTCGAAGAAAATGATCGTGGCTACTGAAGATACTGAGCCGAAGGACAGAGAGATATTACCAAATTCTCAGAGGTGGGATCACAGATGCAACCCACCATGAATCTTGGACGGCAAGTATTGCTGCGACAGAAAGGAAAGAGAATGAACAGCCAGCGCTTCGATCTCGAACTTCACTCCCCGCTGCAGCATCAGCTCCAGTTCCCATCTTTTTCAAGGAGGAAACACAGTAACCATTTGCACCATTACACAGCTTAATGGTGCAGGCGATATTATGAAGGGCAAAATGTCAGAATTCGGACGCTTCTTACCTCCACTCTGGGACTTGCTTCTCCAGGTAGCATCTGTTTAACATCTTTTCGGTTCTTCTTTTGTCTAGCAACCAAAATGGGAAGGGATTCAGAAAGAACATGGAAATGGGCGATAGGAAACTTTAAGAAGTTTTGTTGTAGAGAAACTATACCTTCTGCTGTCAATGGAAGGAGACACTGTTGGGGAATGCTATATTTCTCAACGTCAGAGGGGAAAGCGCCAAGCCAGTGTATTCCGGTGAGGCGCAGAAATTTTGCATCGTAGGCCATTTGCTTCCAGTACAAGCAAAAAGAATGGGTTATGCAAACAGGCGAAGATTGTGGAGAAAGATGGAAAGTTGGTCGCCGGAGTGTGAAATCGCTCACCATAGAACCAAAACGATAGGTAGTAAGGATATCAAAGCCATATGGATCACAATCTACCAAGCAATACACAGGCAGCCGCAGCTTCTCAATGAGGAGTCGCAAGAACCTGCTATGCAGCAGATGTTTGCAGAGTGAACAGCTTTTCATTGGAAAATCAGTTAGAAAACAATAGATAGTAATTCAACCTTCTTGTGGGAATATCTGGGTAGCCTCTTCCCTGCAAAGTAGAGAAGTAAAAAAAACCCATCAATCTTAACATCTGAAGTGATGAGACAGAGCTTTAAAGAGAGAAGTGGATGGACTTGAGCTTACTGTGATGACAATACAGCGGTTCGTGTCACAGAAGTGGTTGTTGGCCAAACGCTGGAAGACTGCAAGACAATGAGTTCAAAGGTGTTATGTTCCAAGAGAGAACTGGATTAGAACAATGATTCTTTCTTTCCTTTTCTTTCCCCAAGAGCATTGCGAATGAGTGAGATTTACCTGATTCCTTCTCCACAATCAATATGTACTTAGCAACACTAACGATATCTGTTTGCGAGAATGATAGCCAATATTATTAAGGAATTACATGGATAAAGTATTAGAACTTTCAAGCATTTGAAGGGGAAAATAATGGTTTTAAGCATAGATATCTTTGAATTATACAAATCAGGTCACCCTTTGGAAAGTTAACTTCGCAACCTTAACTCAGGATTGTTAACAAGAAAACTGTAAAGAGTGAGAACAGATAAACAACAATCCACATGGGACTGCCTTTTGGAACACAATGGTTGCATATAAATTGATAGTGCAGATACTTCTGACTTTCTCCACGTATACTGGAACAGGAAAGGTCTGCAAACCAAGAATGTATTATGGTGTGAGCTGGAAAATTAAAAAGAGGCATGGAAGACTTCTTAAAGTACATCCCATTCTTACACTGCTAGGAGAATTTATGCAGTCAAACTTCCTTCCAGCTTCTACAAATCGTAACCAGCCCATAACCAACCTAAGAAGGAGAACAGCACACATGCATAAGAATACAGGTGAATGAAAACTTGAATGACAAAGCAAATCTCACTACGTTTTCCAAGTAGTGCATGATGGCAGGTACCTACCCATTTCCAACAGACACCTGCAGAATGGAGTTGGAACAATCAGAAGAACTGAGATGCAAAGGGTAAATATCACATGCCATATAGCTCTCTCAAAATGTCATACCACGTTCAGATTGTGACGACTGCACTGCAGAATGATGCATATGTCATTGATTGCCCGATCAACTACGGATTGTTCTGCATTTCAAAACAAGCTGAACATTCTAAAAGGGGGAGAATGGATAGAAAAACTAAGCCATAACCAAAAGCTGGAGGTGAAGCTTCCTCGACATCTATCATGACATTTTCCAAACACTGACTACATGATCAAGCGCATAGCAGCAGCAGCAGCAGCAGACCAAAGTAATTACAGGAACGAAAAAACTCTGAGAAGATCATGCAGGTTCACCTGAAAATACTGAAGGGTGCATGTAGTATATATCTCTTTTAGACCCATGCCTATCCTCTTGAAGTAGCTTCTGAACAATAACCAACACTCTCAACAGGACATCTGCAATTCCATAGCAACATGGTAAGTACATTCCATGGCTATCCCGAAAGGAAAATTAACAACGAATTATATCTAGTTTACACCCGTAATTCTCAAACCATTCGCATTTCTAGTGTTCACCTTCGTCTCACCTATCCTGCGAGCGCTGCATTCTCTTTGGATCGTCAAGATTTCCTGCCCCTCAGGCAAATCAGAGCCGCAACAGCTAATCCAAGAAGCACAAACACATCACTCAAAAATGCAGAAAACCAGTTCTCACTTTCTCATGGAATAAGCAAACCTAGCGGAATCGGCAATTCGAAAGCGAGAGACTGACCAATTTCCATGAGGATTCGTGCAGTAGTTACTGAATTTGTCGATGAAAATCCCAGGCGATCGTCCCTCGCTGAGAGCTTTCACCAGCGATCTAGTGAATTCTGCAAAACCAGAAAAAAAAAAAAAAAAAGCAGCGCCAAGAACTCTTCATCGATCTCAAACACTCGCATCGTTACTGGAAGAAGTGCGGTCTGATCGCTTCACGGACCTCTGATTTTTCCGAGCAACTCCATTCTCCGTCTCGAGCTCGATTGATTTCCCTCCATAATTTGATCCTGCTGCCGCGAGATGCGCGATTGTGGAATGGAGCGGAAGACGAGTGAAAGTGTTAGAGCATTACGAATTTACAGATTTAAATATTAGCTGGGCCTGTTCGTAAAAAAATCAACGCATGGCTGGGCCTGAAGACGGTAACTGGGCTTGTTGAGAATTGACAAAATTTATGTCATTAGCGAAAAGCGATAACTATCTGATCAATTATAGCAGACGCCATTAAAGCTCCCTGAACCACTAACAGGAACCTCAACTGGACGATGGGGACAAGAATAAAGATCTACGCCCAGGATGTTGAGCTTTCTTTCGTCCCCCCTGTAACTGGGGAAAGCCAAAAGAAAAGCAGGCTGAAACTCGGCGGCTGAGGCAGCAATACTCCGGCCGACCAAGACAATTACACTTCCGGGAAGTTCCGGATACCATTTTCGGAGGAGACCAACTGGATTCAGCTGCCAATGGCGCCGCTTCGGTTTCCGGTACTGGCAAATCTCTCTCCCTCCACCTTTTCTCCCTTCTCTGTTCCTCGTGGTTTTCTTTCCTCCAATTTAGAGTTACCTGGGGAAAGTGGAAGTTTTCCGGTGTGGGAATTTCTGTGATGCTTAGTTGAGTAGATGTTGACCCTTTCGGCCGGAAAGAGAGACTCAAACCGACGGCCTGTGCATTATTTCTGATGCGCTTCAGAGAGGATCTGAACCAGAATTTGCTTGGAAATTTTGCGGGGTGATTGTTCTCTTTAAATTGGAACCTGGGTGCGCTTTGAATTGTAAGCAAACTCTCCATCCATGCAAGTCATTAAGCCGGGTTGAGTAGTACTAGTATAACACTCAGCTGAGTTTCTTAGTGAGGCTTTCCATACTTGGGTAACTTCGAGTTCTTTGTTTTTACAGGTTGCCTTAGGGTTTTCAAACCTCTATTTCTGATTTGGGATATTCATGATGTTTTTAGATATTGATATTCCTCCTCTGCTTGTTATTGCCTTGTTGACTATTAATGGTAGCTAAATTCCGTCACAACCCAGCTCACCATTTAGAATTTTGCTCAAGTTCAGCTTACTGGCCTGACTCACTTATCTGCTGTTTTACTTGCTTGATTTAGTTATTCGAAATCGAACATATGATGAGTATTCCAAAGAAAGATGTTCAGAACTGACCGGTGAAGTTTTCCCCTCTTCATTGTGGTGTCATTGTAAGCAACAGACGAAAGTAACAATGATTTGCTTAAAAAAACTCCATGTCGTTTACATTCTGCTATGTAATCTTAGATGCTTAACTTTCTGTCTATTTCTCTGGGGTTCCATAGCATATTGACTTCCATGGTACATAACTAAAACCTAGTCATGTTTTTCGATGAGCAGATCTCGTAAGATTCAGATCGTATTCCTGTCTATTGTCATAATGGCCTGTGATAGTCCAAGGGAGCCCTTGCTTTCAGGGTCATCCATTCCCAACCCTCGAATGAGCTCAGTCGCAACTGCTCAAAAGAGAAGAGTACTGAGACGTGCTAGGAGCGCTCCTCAAGCGAGTTTGGCTCCACCAGCTCCAGCTGGAAAGGACAGTGATCCGGTCCCATTAGCAGAGTCCATCTTCGGGAAGCTTCACCCTAGCATCAAGCAAGTAGCTGTTTACTTGGCTATCTACCTGGGCCTCGGCACTCTATCCTTCTACTTTGTGAAAGATGACTTCATAGGGAAGAAGACGAACAATCTTCTGGATGCCCTATACTTCTGCGTCGTCACCATGACCACCGTGGGATATGGAGACTTGGTCCCAAATAGTTCCGCCGCAAAGCTGCTCGCCTGTCTGTTTGTCTTCACCGGGATGGCTCTTGTTGCCTTGATAATGAGCAAGGCAGCCGATTACTTGGCGGAGAAGCAAGAGATCCTGCTACTGAAGGCGATGCACCGAGACTCAATCGGTCCATCTGAAGTCCGTAAAGAAGCCGGGACCAAGAAGGCCAAGTACAAGTGCCTGTTGGCTGCAGGAATCATCGGAGTCCTCATGGCGATTGGAACCATCTTCCTCCATCGAGTCGAGAATCTGGGACTCGTCGATTCCTTCTACTGCGTCTGCTCCACCGTGACCACATTGGGGTACGGTGACAAGAGCTTCTCCACGAGTGGCGGGCGCCTCTTTGCCGTGGTTTGGATAATTCTAAGCACCCTTGGGTTGGCTCAGCTGTTTTTCTACGTGGCGGAGGTGTTCACCGAGAGCAGGCAGAGGGAGTTGGTGAACTGGGTTCTCGCTAGAAAGATGACCGCCGTGGACTTGGAGGCTGCCGATATCGACAGCGATGGCCATGTTGGGTAAGTGTCTGCTGCTTCTCTCGTCTCCGGCTCGTTAGCTTTCTTCCCGTCTGATGTCGAACTCTTTCTCGTTGTGTGGTTTTTATTGGCAGGTGTGCGGAGTTTGTGCTGTACAAGCTGAAAGAGATGGGGAAGATCACACAGGATGATATCATGGTGGTGACGGAAGAGTTCGAGGGCCTTGATGTCGACCAATCGGGTTCGATCACTGCGTGTGATCTCGTTCTGGCTCAGCCAAATGAAGCAAACAAATGAGGTCTCTGATTCGAACTAGTAGTGTTTGGTTTGGTTGTATAATGTGTATGCTGATGTAAATGTTCTTGTGTGATAATTTGTGTATCGTCCTCCAATATCAAAATCCCCTGTAAAAAAAATTCTCCCTAAGAACGACCACTCGAGCTATTTTGCAAACTCAACAAATGGGCACAAATCGTAGGAAATCCTTGTTTCATTAGACAAAGCTTGCGGCTACAAAATAACAGGCATCCACTGAAACCCTAAATCGGAAACCTAGAACCTCGGAATATGAACAAAACAGGACACACAAAGGATTAGAGAAGTTTCGAAATCCCTAAACAGCTCAGCCGCCGAAGCCGTACAAGGTCCGGCCTTGCCTCTTGAGCGCGTAGACGACGTCCATGGCGGTGACGGTCTTCCGGCGAGCGTGCTCCGTGTAGGTGACGGCGTCGCGGATCACGTTCTCCAGGAAGATCTTGAGGACGCCGCGCGTCTCCTCGTAGATGAGGCCGCTGATCCGCTTGACGCCGCCTCGGCGAGCCAGACGGCGGATGGCCGGCTTGGTGATCCCCTGGATGTTGTCGCGGAGGACCTTCCTGTGCCGCTTGGCTCCTCCTTTACCCAGCCCCTTTCCTCCTTTGCCGCGGCCCGACATTTTTGCTTCAAATTGGAATCTGGAAGGAGAAGCGGGAAGATTTGGATCGAAAATGTGGTTTTTGAATTTTGGATCTGCTGAATTTGTGAGGGAAGAAGAAGATGTTTAGAGGTTTTATATAGCTGCTGTGGACTGGGGAGATGATCGATCGGGACCGTTGATTGTGAGTGAGCATCGACGGTTGAGAATGGCGATCCGCGTCACTACACTATCACTTGTCTTCTTTTGTTTGAAGGGTTGGGCCGTGAGCTCGTGTATTGGTATCATCTTGGGCCGTGGGCTCGTGTTCCCGGCCCAATACGAATGTCGTGCTACCGACTTTAAGAAAATTAAAGCCTGAAAATCTGGCTGCCCGTTTCCGTCGGCTCCTCGACTCTCCGAGCAACCACCGAAGGCCGACCGCCGCCATCAATGGCTGCTGGAGCTCTACCCACAGCTGCAATTGTGGCTGCGGTCTCGCTTTCGACGGTCGTCTTCTCTTACTACCTCTGCAGCTACTGGTCCACCAGCGGAGCTCGTTATTCGACTCATTGTGTGAGTAAGAAGAAGAAGAAGAAGAAGAAGCAGAGGGGGAGAAGTGGACTCGTGGATGCAATTGGGAACACTCCGTTGATAAGAATCAACAGCTTGTCTGATGCAACAGGCTGCGAAGTAAATTAATTGGCCTTCTTCCCCAAGCGATCATTCGAACATAGATGTAGGCTTTGTTTAATGTTCTTGATTTTGATTCTGTTTATCTCAGATTCTAGGGAAGTGCGAATTCCTGAACCCGGGTGGAAGCGTGAAGGATAGAGTTGCCGTGAAAATCATTGAAGAGGTAATTCTGAAGCTAACCCTTTAGGATCCATTTCTGAACTGATAAGACTTTGTAGGCACTAGGCAGTGATTGGTATGTAGCTAGTATCTCTTAGGCAATTGCTTGTTTCAGGATTCAATACACCAAAATAGATGTACTCAATTCAGTTTCTATTTATGGGAATTGTTCTTAGTGGTATTTTCATCCAGGCACTCAGCTTCTTTAATGGGTTTTTAACAGGCACTGGAATCTGGGAAGTTAATTCTAGGTGGAGTTGTGACTGAGGGAAGTGCTGGAAGTACTGCTATTAGCCTTGCTACCGTTGCTCCTGCCTTCGGTTGCAAATGCCATGTGGTTATCCCAGATGATGCTGCTATCGAGAAGGTATGTATTTACAAGATTTCAGCTTCTTTTGGTTTTGTTAGGTAATCCAAGACTGCTGTTGCTTTCTTTGTCACATATATGTCTGTACTTGAAACCATGTCTAGTCCTTCCACCAATTCTTAGGTTATGGCTAGTACACTGTGTTATGAAATGCTGGAGAAATCTTTTTTCCCCTAGAATGGTGCTTGGGAGGCCTTGATATCCCTTTTTTGAGGAGCTGTTGCGCTATTATTACAATCTCAATGAGCCTAAAAATCGATCCTTTCTTCGGTGTTGTCAGTCCCAAATTTTGGAAGCCCTGGGAGCTACGGTTGAAAGAGTGAGGCCTGTTTCAATTACACACAGAGACCACTATGTTAACATTGCAAGGCGGCGGGCAGTTGAAGCTAATGAATTGGCTTCAAAGCTCAGAAAATTAGCTAAGATTGAAGATGAAGTCCTTCTCAACCGAATTGAAGGTTATGGATCTGATGGACAGAAGCAAGACTCAGTTCTGCCTTACTATGGTAACGGAGGTTTCTTTGCTGATCAGTTTGAAAATTTGGCAAATTTCAGGGCCCATTATGATGGTACTGGGCCTGAGATATGGGAGCAAACTTGTGGTGGTGGCGGCAGTTTAGATGCATTTGTAGCAGCTGCCGGCACTGGTGGCACTCTAGCTGGTGTTTCCAGATTTCTCCAGGTCTAGTCTGCACTTCCCTTCAGCTGCTGGAACTCACCATTTTTGTCTTGTTACCAAAATTCATTAAAGTCCTTTTACTGTTATCTGCAGGAAAAGAACCCGAATATCAAATGCTTCCTCATTGATCCTCCCGGTTCTGGCTTGTACAACAAGGTAACTAGAGGGGTAATGTACACCAAAGAGGAAGCTGAAGGCAAAAGGCTGAAGAACCCATTTGACACCATAACAGAAGGGATAGGGATCAATAGATTGACACAGAACTTTCTGATGGCTAAACTTGATGGTGCATTTCGAGGTACAGATGAGGAAGCTGTCGAGATGTCAAGGTTAGTGCTTTCTATATTTTTACGCTACTCTCAAACTACAGCTATAGTTGTTTGCTGGGGGCTACGTTGTCATTCTCATTCATGTCGAACATATTCTTGCAGGTTTCTTCTGAAGAACGACGGTCTATTTGTTGGGAGTTCATCAGCCATGAACTGTGTTGGTGCTGTTAGAGTGGCGCAGTCGCTTGGCCCTGGACATACCATTGTCACCATTCTTTGTGACAGTGGGATGAGACATTTGAGTAAATTCTGCAATGCTCGGTATCTATCCGAGCATGGTTTGACACCAACTTCAGCTGGGCTGGAGTTCTTGGGAATCAACTGAGCTTTTTGGCAGAGGCTGGAAGCTTGGTCTAATATTTTTGGTCATTAACTTATTGATACGGTGTTGGCAGCAGCATTTATTTGGATATGTAATTCCATTGTGTGAGCTTGACTCTGCTACACTCAAGTTGAGAGTGATTGCTCCTTGATGACAGAATATTTGAAAGTTGGACCAGTAGGTATTGAAGAATGTGAGGTTCTGAGTTTGGAGATTCAAAGGCATCAACAGTTCAACACGACAGATGAGTTTTTACTTTTCTGGGCTAACTCAAAATTGCAGGAGTTTCAGAATACAAAGTACTTGGGGGGAAAAAAAGGTGGAAAAAACAGCATGACATCTTAAGCCTTGGCTCTTTTAGCATCTTTCACATTGACAGGAAGAACCTACAAACTTGCATACATTAAACTTGTCACTTATATCAGTCTTCCATGTGAAAGCTGGAAGACTTAATGGACCCAATTGAGAGGTCAATCTCCATCAAGTTATCTTCCTCATTCACCTCATCAATCTCTTCCAATACCTCCATCATCCCCCCTTCTTCTTCTTCCCTTATGACGAATTCATTCGAGAAACCAGGCTTTCCCCACGAAAACGTTCCCATGGATGACAATTCGTCAGCATAAACAGAGCTCTCATTTGGAGGAAGACATATCTCGATGAGATCATCATCTTCTTCTACTTCTTCGCCATCATAATCAGAAGCTGAGCTTTCACAGAATGCTAAGCTCTCGCAGGCATCGTTGTTGAAGTGCTTCATCCATTTGAGTTCAAAAATCTCACTCCTGGGAGAATCATCACTGCTGGTTTCACCATCTGATGGGAACTCCGTCGACTCCACTTGATACTCATGCAACTCAGAAGCTTCATTGTCACTCTTCTGTGTCACACACAGCTCTGGAACAACAACAGCAACTATAGTTTCCGAACCCTGACTCGGTTTGTCATCAGCTTCTTCTTCTTCTTCTTCTTCAACAGCAGCAGTGACGACTAATCTCTTTGAGAATGAAGAAATGAAGATGGAGGAGAGAAGCAGAACTGGGATTGACACAAGGAGAGGAGGAGAGAAGCCATAACAAAGGAACAGAGTAGTAGCTAGAGAAGACAGGAGTGCAATGTAAATCAATGATGAGGGCCTGAGAAAGTTGGTGAAGTAATGCCAAGTTTGAGTAGTCCAACCTGGCGACGGTTTATCCATTTTCCAAAGAAACAGCTTGAGGAAATGGATTGGAGACGGGAAGGGCAGATCTAGCCAAAAGCTCCAGCCAAGCTCTTCTTTTTTTAAGAACCAAAGGAGGGAGGGAAACAAAGAGAAGAGGGAAAAAAGCAAAAGCGAGGAAGGAAGGAGGGTGGGAAAAAGGTGCAAACTTTCAGAGTGCTAATCCAAACAATTAAAGGAAGAAGAACAGAGGAATCTGGTTGGTGGGTACATACAAGAACAACAGAAAAGAGCTTTTGCTTCTTCTTCTTCTTCTTCTGGGAGTTGTGGAATCACTTCACAGTTGAGTGAGTGACCACTCTTTCTCTCTGCCTTGGAGCTCTCAAATCCTAGATTAGAAAAATGGGTTTTCTTACTTCTGCTGATTGATTCTCTTGAAACCACCAAAAAGAAACTAATTTAACCACCCAACCACCCAACCGTGAGGGCAAATCTCAAAGCTTTGGAGGGAAATGGGAATGGTGCTACACATGGGTCCATGAATGAAAACCCATCTCTAATCTACAAGCAAGCAGCTTAATTGCCTTTTTCCAACCTAATCTACAATGTCCACAACAAGCAAATTCTTTGGGCTGACAATTGAATAGGCACTCATTTATGTTTGAAAAGCATCAAGAAAAAATTGGGGTTGCAAATGAAACAATTAGGAGCTAAGCTTGATTATGAGACAGGAAAAAAGAGTAATGATGATGACCCACTTTGGGCTGTCTGGAGATGAAACAATGACTCCAAAGTTTCACTGCACGCTGAAGCTATTTTAATACTCGATTCAATTCCATCTATGGAGGCCATTTTCATTCAAACAGAGAGATGGTCTCCCATTCAAAACCGACATGAAATAAATCTTGAATGGGTCAGGTTCAGGATTCATGGCGGGATCTGCTCTGCTCTGCTCTGCTTCATGGACTTAAATGGTTTGATACTGTACACTCTGCATTCATGGCTGCTTGATGACATGATTAATCCACGGGCACTGATTTCCCTCGCTGGCTACCAAAGATTCTAGACGCCCTACAAACAAGACAGACACGCATAGTCTGTTTGCACGTCAAAACTTCGAGTTTGGTTTGATTTTGATTGAAGATCTCTTTGAATTTTGTAGTCTAAAGAGTAAATAACTTTGTCATTCACTCCTACAATTTCCGGTTTGGACATTTTTTGTTCTAGATGTTAAACACATACTATGACGGTTGTCGGAGATGTCGAATCATTCTCATAAAAAAAAATACACGATGTTTGCCTATCGAAATCAAACAAGAGAATATTTTGAGCTACATTTGGCTCGAAAATTACAAAACTTGCATGAAAAAGACCGGATGGAGGCGTTTCACCGAAGTTGATGTTAGTACGTAGTGTTTTGTCAATCAAAGGATGACATATGTGTTTCAAAAGGGAGTGTTTTACTGGTGCCACCAAATTGTGGTAATCGGCAACTTGATAAGGAATGAAAACGAACACTATAATAAGATTTTGGTAAGTGTAAAATGGTGAATTGATAAGGTATACAACATGATTGTTGCACCTCAGCATAATTTCATAATTTGGATTACTTTTACTTATGGAATTTGAAGAAACTCAATCAAAATCGTATTAGTTGAATTCTTCGTCATTGGATATCGTTTTAGATTGATTTATGTTTACCATACATCCTTCATGTCCCAGTGCCGAAATGAAGCAAATATAAGAAGAGCAGTCTCATTATCAAATTAAAATACAATAATAACATTATGTACTCATCTACTATTCTAAATTAACAAATATACCCTATACTATTATTTTTCACAAATATACCACCCTATTATATGTCCGTTTCAGTTTTTCGTTTATTATTCTCCCCCTACCCTATCCACCAGTCCTAAAAAAATAAATTAACAGTCTCTCAAAAAAAAAAAAAATAAATAAATAAAAAATAAATTAACAGACGTTTCTAGGGTTAGGGTTTGCGAATCTAATCTTCAAATAATTAATTAATTAAAATCGATTAATCTGATGGCAAAATAAACCCTTTTTATTTTAATGAAACAAAACCGGAGGAGGAGGAAGAAAAGAAAGATCAGTAATCTTGTAAGCCTCCATCTCAGGGATTTTGGGAGATCTTCAGGTCCTTTTCCCCACTTTTGCCTTCCCGCTAAAACGAAGTTCGGCCGCCTGGGACGCGCATAATCACCAGCACTCGGAAAGGAGATTCTCTCCCCGTCGTTGTCTGGTTGGAGCGGAGCGGAGCGGAGAGGGAGATTTCTGGGCTTCACCGCCCTCTGGCCGTTGAAATCCATGATCGGCAGCGCCCTATGGACCCTTCCCAACCGCACGCCCAATCTCCGATCAATGATGAAGACGATGAATGGGGTATGTATATTGTTTTCATTCCTTCCCTTTTGTATCGGGTCAGGCGAACAAATTGAAAGGGCTTCTTGCTGAAATTTTTGCGATGCTCGATCTGGTCGCAAATTCGCAACTTGCGGTTTAAGCTGCATTGGTTGATTTGTAACTGAGCAAGCATGTAGTTGGGTAGTATTTGATGAGTAGTTTTATGGTAGGTGCTTTCGACTCTGTGATTGCTTAGTTGTCCTGGTTCAGTTCCAGTTACTGGGTCCTGATGTTGGTTGAGATTTGAAGTGTTCAAAAAGAGGGAGGATGCAGCTGAAAACTCTGCCCTGCTTTAGTTGTGCAATCGGAGGAAACTTCCACATCACTTGTTTTGATAGGATTTCCAGGGTGCTTTGTTGCCAAAAAAAGAAAAATGAGAACTCGAAGTTATTGTGCCAGTCTTTACTTGAGTGGCTAATCTGGGCATCATTTGTGGTGAAGATTTAAGGTAGTAGGTGGACTCACTGGTGGTTGAAGATACTTACTTAGCAAACAAGTGCACATTTCATAGGTTTAACTAAGACGAGCTTTTATGGAGAGGGGGAGAAAACTGGTCTTTCCTACATTGTATCCTTAGATTACCCAGTTTAGTACTCTCTAACACCAGCCACAACAGGGGAAGTGGAAGTTAACTTATAGTTTTTCATTCGTCCTAAGAGCATTGATTTCGTGTTACCTTTTGAACTGCATACCGTTATATCGTTCTACTTTCTAGGTCTGAATCTTGATCTTCCCTGCTTAGAAGGCAACTTTTTTAGTTTCGAAGTTCATGTTCTTTTATAGCATTTTTAAGGTTGGTTGGTTTGATGTTGAAATGTTTTAAGACTTAGACAAGGTAACAGATCTTGAAGAATAAAATAAGTGACAACCAAGGTTCCATCCGTACAGAAGTTCTCATTTTTACATAGAAGGCATGCGGATGACATACCAGTATTATATGGATTGGTTCCCTTGCCATCTTGTTCTGGTGTGTGTTGCCTATATTGTACAATCCTTTCATTTTTAGCATGAAATATGTATACTTCTTGTTTGCAGCTCCCGTACTGTAAAGCAATTTGTATGTTAACGATTTTCCAATCTTAAATTATTGTGATGCTTGGATGATTTATATCTCTCATTCCTGGGGAGGGATGCCAGACAAACATCTCTATTCACTTCATGCTTATTCTGTACGAACCTGACATATTATTTAGACGTGCTCAAATTTCTTCATACGATGCTCCTCTGTTTCATAGCTATTAGTCTATCTACGTAATCTTTGGCTTTGAAAACTTTTAAAAGTATGCTACTTCGCTGACACTTTTTCTGCGCTTTCGTGATTATGTTCAGACACCGATGGGTTCGTGATTCCAAGCTTAGAAATAGATAGCAGAGATCAATCCACAAAGAATGATTCGGAAGCAGAAATCCCCGAACCTCCTCCTCCGAAGGCAAGTTTTAAAACAGCCCTATTCGTTCAGGTTGGTGGGACTGCAGAATAGCATTTCTCTCATTCTTGTGTCTGTATGATCACCGTTGTATCATTCCGCTACTGCAGGGTGAAAGGGAAGAAGAGCAGATTTACTTAGGCCCGCACGGTGCACCACCTTCTCAAGCAAAGCAGCAGCAGCAGCAGCAGCAAGAAGTGAACTCATCCAGCCGCAAACAAAGATTTAAGCAGACGCTGAAGGACGCTGATAAGAGGATCAGCAGAACAGGGCGGGAGAATAAGTTGGAGAATCTGCGGGAACTAGTTGGTGGCGGCGGAGGAGGGAAAGCAGGCACCAAGATGCAGCAGCAGCAGCAGAAGAGCTCTTCTCCTAAGGAATGGCTGGACCCTCATTGCCATGAATCCCAGTTTGAGAAGTGGCATCCACAGTGAACTCTACAGTTTGTTTGAAGATTTAACAATCCGTTAGAAACATCAGCTTGTCCTGGCCATGCTTGTTGACAACGATATTAATAATCATTTAGCTGAACCTTGTTGATGCTGGTTTTATTGCCCAGTTCCATCGTCTCCTGCCTCGGCCCATCCACGAATTAAAAGCACTAATGCACAAGTAAATATTCAGGTAAGAGACAAAGAAACTGTTCATACTCGAATCCCTCTAGCTAATTATAACGAAATTAATCAAACACAACATAGTCGTTATATGATTTCCTCGACCATAGGGCATCACCGCAATACTGTTAATCAGTGTTCTCATATATCTTCCCTAGCCACAATAACGAAATTAATCAAACCCATTCCACAATAATCGTATTCATCCTAGTCTGGCAAGCCATCCAATCCGGCAGTGAGTTCAACGTCGAGGCGTGCAAACTCAACGTTGACCCACGGTACGGTACTGATTGGATGACTAAGAATTAAGATCAACTCATGGTGTTGGTTGGTTTGTGATCTGTTAATAGAAACGACTTGCCAATCGTTCAATATGCCTAGCTAGCTATATGCGAAGGGAAAAACCAAAAACAAAAACAAACCAAAAAACAAAAAAAAAGAGGGAAGAAAACCTCTCGAGCATCCATAGAGCCATAGAGAAAGAAATGCTCCACTGAGCGAGTAGTGACTGCTACTAGTGATAGTGGTCTAGTGGAGCACTGAAGACAGAAAAACAAAGGTCTCTTTTCCAAAGTCATATACAACAATTTCGACACAAAAATTAAAAATAAAAAGGGTTAATTAAATGGCTTAAGTGGACAGCACATGGTGTTTACATGAGCTGATAATGATGTTGTGAGACTCATTAGCTACCTAAATTATTACAAAATTTCCTTTGTTAATCATTTATCCCCACCTCTGCCTTCATTTTCAATCCAATGCTCCGATTATTCTTTTGCTATTACGCTATAATAAAGATATATATTGTAGTAGGTTTACGTGTTGGACAATGACATTTAATTTTATAATATTCCATGTCTTGTTGTCTTTATAGATTAATTATTATAGATTTATAGTTGATCCTTCCTTACATTTGGGTTTTTCTGTTTTGATGTAAAAAAAAAAAACACTAATAAAAACAAGTTCTTCGAGTAGATTATTCACCAAAGCAAAGTGTAGAGTCTTAATCACGAGGATATTTATAAATGACATTAATAAGGGAGATAAGGGTTTTTTTTTTTCATTTCATGAGAATCTCACTACAACTGCAATTATGCGAGGGAGATAAATTTATGGAATTCACTGCACTCTCGAGAATTGGTCACGTTAGAATTTAGTGTTGGATCCTGAAGTTTCATCAAGAGTACTCATCTAACGATTTTCATAGAGTCTCGAATTCGAATACTAACATCAGTAAAGTAAAATTTTACACGAGCTTTGGGGTTTGCTCTTGTTAGAATTATAAGTATGGCTACAACATTGTCAATGTCAAAAATAGATATAGATATATGGTTATACTGCCTTTTGGTTTGTTAAAATGAAAGATTTTCGTACATAAACCCGGCCTAGTCTAGGTTTTATTTTTCTTTATAGTTTCTTCTATCATTTATACAGTTGAGTAAATTTCGTTATGAATGCAGGGTCAAATTAAACAGAGACAAAGAGGAATATATAGAAAAGAAATAAAAAACATGAGAAAGTATAAATCTATAGACAACACATATCTCAATGAACTGCGTCGATCAGATCTCTACTGCTAAACTACAACTCGCGACTTTTTTTCGAACTAACAATTGATAATTATAATTTCGATTGGTTATTTTCTCGTTGTATATCAGTGTCTAATGATCCATGATTATTAGTTGCCTGTGCAGCAAGTCACGGCGTTTTTCCGGTCCTGTCTCCATTAATTTCCCATGCACGAGAAGGAAAAACCATTAATGTGACTGAAGTTGCAGTTCATGTTCTTCCCCTTCCAGCAAGAAAAAGAAACTGCTTCAAATTGCAATGCCACCCCAATAAATGATGAATGAAATACAAGTATATGGATGTTGACTCAAAACTTTCCACCCAAAAAAGATCCTGGTCTTAGTGTTTTATTCTTACTTTTCTTCAAATATATAATTTAGAAGTTAGTTTCCTGTATCGAATCGAATATATATAATGTGATTCTGCTATTGGTCACGTGAATTTTATAAAAATCGAATAAAAATGTATCGAATTAACATTTAATCCAACAAAAATGGACAGAATCTATAATTAATTCGATCATCAATTCTATAATGTATATTTCACTATTCGGCCGCTATTTTCATGAGTTGGATCTAATTCACACCGGATCAAATCGTCGCACTCTCATTGTTGGCTTAAGATAAGGTCAGTAACCAATGGTTACTAACCTATGAGTAACTAAATCTTGACCTTTAGATTTAAGTGGGTCCAGAAAATTCATATATAAAGGTTGTTAATTAAAGGCATTTTATTTTTCATAGTTTTCTTAATCGGTTCTTATCTTCTTTGTTCTAACTCGGATTTCAATTTTTTTTTTGCACAGATGGAACGAGTTCGTTGTGCTCTACAAAATGAGATCAATTTTCAATATATTTCGAGAAACTTTTTTTTTTTACCAATTACATACCATATGGTAACTTCTTCGTTTTTAAGTCGTTTTGGAAAACGCTTGCTCAGAAGGAACGAGTTCATCATGATCTATTGGATCTATAAATTTCTGGGTGAAAAAAAATACTAGATAAAAAATTACCATACTTTACCACTATGGTATGTGGGTGGTAACTTGTAGTAAACAATGATGAAAATTGTAAATGACAGTTAATATACTCATACTATTATGTATTTAACCTTCTTACCATATTGGTATGTTCATACTATCATGGTATGCTTTCTTACCATGTGGTATTAAATTGGAGCATACCATATGGTAATGGCTGGTAAAAAATTATTCAATTTTTTTTTGTACTAAAAATATATCAAAGTTGATATCATTTTAAATAGCACATTTAATCTGATTTATCTGTGAAAAAAATTAAATTTCGACTTAAAGACTTTCTAGGAGAGAGAGGATAATGATGTCATGCTGATATAGACAGTTACTCATGGTTACTGACCTTATCCGTTCCCCTCATTGTTTTGCTTTTCTTCTCAAAGGAAAAGAAATACTAAATTGACAGGTCACCAACCCAAAAAATACATGGAAAAGCCAAAAAAAAAATAGAAGAAGGAAAAGAAATGCCAAGTCAGATAATGCACCCACGTGATAGATACGAAACCAACGGCCAAGATCATCCGCCACCACCATCCGACGGCTCGGTCCCCGTCCCTTCTCAGAAGACACTTATCGAGAAACAACGGCAGAGAATCAGCCACGTCCCCACCTCCACCCCGCGACAAATCCACCTTCCTTATTTTTAAACCGCCCCCTCTTCACCCGCAATTTTTTTTTTATTACTACTCATCATCATCATCTCCTCCCTCAATTCCGATTCCCCTTCAAAAGCTCGAGATCGGAGACTCGGCGTTTTGTCATCCCAATCTCTTTCCATTTTACATTAGCTCTGGTCCCGGTTCGGTTTCTGGGTTTGCTATGGGCGACTCGGACAACGACTCGGGCGGGCACCCGAACGCCGGCGGCGGCGAGATGGCGTCGCCGAGGGAGCAGGACAGGTTCCTCCCCATCGCCAACGTCAGCAGGATCATGAAGCGGGCCCTCCCCGCCAACGCCAAGATCTCCAAGGACGCCAAGGAGACGGTGCAGGAGTGCGTGTCGGAGTTCATCAGCTTCATCACCGGCGAGGCCTCCGACAAGTGCCAGCGGGAGCGCCGGAAGACCATCAACGGCGACGACCTGCTGTGGGCCATGACCACGCTCGGGTTCGAGGACTACGTGGAGCCGCTGAAGGGCTACCTCCAGCGGTTCCGGGAGCTGGAGGGGGAGAAGGCGACCGTTGTGGCGGGGCGTGAGAGGGACGCGCCGGGAGGCGGCGATGGGGATGGTGGGTTTGGGCTGGGTGGGTTTCAGGGATATGGGCCCGGGCCCGGGCCCGGCGGGAGTGGTGGTAGCGCTGGTGGTGGGTTTTATAATAATAATAATAGTGGGGCGGCGATAATGGGTCATGGTGGTGGTGGTGGTCCTGTGTATAGTGGGCCTGGAGTCGGCTTGGGTAGGCCCAGGTAGATTAATGTGTGGGCCCATGGCCCGGTTGAGCCCAAAAAGTATGCTGTCATTCTCGGATTCTCGATCAAGGCGGGAAACGGAATCTTTTATCAACTAGGGACGGACGGCGTTGGTGGAGGGAGACACGTGTAGCGATCTGGGCGTTTCTGGGTTTAGTGATTGTTCATATTTTTCGGGCGTTTCCTTCCCTCTCCCTCCCTGCACCTTTTTCTGTGTTAGTGGAGTTTTTACTACCATTATGATTTTATGTACATGTAATTGTTTTTTTTGATGATATGTACATGTACTGTTTGCGTCTGATTATGAGTTGTTAGGGCCAGCTCGATTGCAACTTGGCCACTTGGGGGAATCTTGGAAATAAACCTCTCTAATATCTACACCGTTTGGGATAAAAAAAAAAGAACTGAGTTTCAATCATTTGAGAGGGAATGTGGATGATTCCTCACTTTCCTCTTCATTGATCAACGTGGAAGAAAGAAGGTTAGGTCAAGCAGTGGCGTAGCCAGACTTTGAGTTCACTGGGGTCCTTAAAAATTTACTAACATTAAGCCTGTGTATCTATTGAATTTGTGTTGATTGGGGTCCTTGGTAAGCTAACACCATTAAGAGTATGGGGTCCTAAACTTGAAAGATCGTACTAAACCCTATCTCTCTAGAGGGATTTTTTGCCAAGTGGGGTCCTAGGACCCCTCTCCTCCTCACCTCCCTCCGCCACTGAGGTCAAGAATACAATGCTGATGGGCATCTGGTCCGAGAAACCTGTTCCGAACATAGTTCAAACAGATTGAATCATATCTAACCATTCATAAGAACTCTTTGAACTCAACTCGTTAGTACTGTCTATAGATGACTAAACTGAATAACCGATAGACTGACTGAACAAATCGAACTCCCACTCTTCCCAGCCAGACGGTCAAAGTAAGTCCACCCACACATACCCAATCACACGACCCAACTGACCAACTCTCTCAGCCAAGTATCAATCCATGGTGACAAGTTCACTCACTCACCCACTGACTGGCCTAGCCTAGCCTATAGGCCCCCAAAAACCGAGGCGATAGAGACGTGCCTTTCTGTAGGGTAAAATGCCTTGGCTGCCACTTAAGTATAACACATGTTGCACACTAACCATCTAACTTGTTTTTGTTGCAACTAAACCATATAAACAAAATTCTTGTTGGACCATCAAAATTTTCGTCCATAAACTTAATAACGGATACCAAATGGAAATTATTGTTCTACCATTTCGGAGAAATAATTGACCGCCACATCCGCGGATTATCTCTTACACTCTCAAATGGCAAGCGAAAGCTGGCTCCTCTCATTAGTCCTCCCCTGAAAATCATGCCTCCAACTCCAATGGTGCTAGTCTCGTTCGGCAACGCCATGGACGAATTAGATTCAAGGTTCAGTTAGAAAGAAAGAAGAAGAAAGCAACTTCTTTTATTGACCGACTTATTCATCTGTTTTGATATGATCCTCTAATGCTAGTCGCATAGTTGGGACACATGGCAGTTAGTAGTGTCAAAATTACTTAAAATTTTGTAACATTTAAGTGTACATTATCTGTAGGCATTCATTAAAGTAGGTGAATTCAATCTCTGCATTCATATATTTGTCAAGTGAATGTTGGATATTCGGCCAAACCAGATGTTAATGAGTATTGGGTAGGACGGTCAACCACTTGCTCTATTACCGAACCACACTTGGTTCAAGCGGGCGAACTTTTCACTATATTCATGAAAAGGATGAGAAAAATAGGAAGGGATGGAAAATTTGAGGATAGTGAAATATTGATGGGGAATAATGTTCATATTTGAAAGGCAAAAAGAGACACAATAAGTGTAACAGTTGTTTTCACTCTAAATTGGAGGGACATTTGCTACAATAGCTTTCCCCCTCCAACAATATCACCTCTTTGTGTGGCAGCAAAACTCATGAACAGAGGAAAAGTTTTTTGATCTCTGCAATTTTCCCCGAATTTTCCTCCCACTCTCTTCTCCCTCCTTCGTGAACAGAGCGTTTAAGTGGAAGGGACGCGTACCCGTTGAAACAAAGCAACCTACATGTACGTTGCATGCATTTGTTTCCACTACCGCTATCAAAATAACCAAATATATATTTGCTATGGTCACTTGTAAGTCATTGTGAGTCGAAGAAAATGGTTGATCGTTTCTTGCAAACGGTTAATCGGATGACAAATTTTATGGGAGTTGCTAAAGGTCGCCCTTAAAATTGCTAAAGGTCGCCCTAAAAAGAATCAAAGTTACACTTTTACCCCCTTAGCTTCTTTACCTTCCCTTTATCAAACAAACACTACTTGGACTAAAAAAACACTATCTAAGGAGAGAAAAATCCATCATCGTCATTTTGAAGCCGATATCGTCGGAGTCGCTACTCCGATGAGGTAAATACATTAACTGAAAAAGGAGAAAAAAAAAGAAGGAACCGCGATCAACGCGCGGTTGAACCGACGGCTGACCGCGGTCAACCTGCGGTTGGACCATGGCCGGACCGCAAATCACCTGCGGTCCAGCCATGGTCCAACCGCAGGTCATTTGCGGTCCAGCCATGGTCCAACCGCAGGTTGACCACGGTCAGCCGTCGGTTCAACCGCGCGTTGACCGCGGTTGACCGTCGGTCTAACCGCGGTTTGACTGCGGTCGGCACGTTTTTTTTTTTTTTACCTTCTTCTTCTCCGACGAAGCCTTCTTCTCCGGCGAAGGCTGTTGCGCGGGTGGGATCGCGGGAGTTCGGCGCGATGGAGCGAGGTGCAGAGGTCGCCGACGCGAGGTGGCAGGCAGTTGCAGAGGGTGATCGGCGCGATGGAGGGAGGTGCAGAGGTCGCCGACGCGAGGTGGCCGGCGGTTGCAGAGGGTGATCGGCGGTGAGTCGGTGAACGCAGGAGTTTCAAAGGCGGTTGCAGAGGGTTTAGGGCTTGTTTGTTTCTTCCAATTTTGATTTTTTCATTAAGGGTATACAGGTAATTTGACATCTAAGTTAGGGCGATGTTTAGCAATTTTAAGGGCGACATTTAGCAATCCAGAATTTTATTTGTTGCAATGGAACTACATCATTACAAAGGAAAAAAGAACGATTGATCTCTTCAATGGAAAGGTCAACAAATTGGTTATTACTTTGTCATGTGTTTGAACATGATTCCACTATTAGAAACATTTCAGTATCGCAATGAGACTCCAACATTAGAAAGGAAAATAACGGTTAATCGTTTGGCCATTTATATTATTACTACTAGAACGATAATTTCACCACTAGAAAAATTTCAATACTAAACAAGAACTTTGATACCATTTAATTTGAGATAATATCAACATAAACTACTATAAATAACTATATACGTCATTTAATTTTGTTGAGTTCAACATTTAAAGCCCAAAAAGATTCAAATAAACAGCACCTATAATTGTCTTTCTACCAAATTAAATATATTTGTGATTATTTAATCAATCACAAATACCAAGCTCGTGAGTCATGACTATACGAATGTATTTTACTTTAAATCGTAGATAAGATAAATATCAACAGAAAAAATAAATTCGTGCCGGAGGGCAAAACTTATTTTCTCAACGATCAAATTTTTACGTGCAGAAAATGAACTCGAAGAAGTACCACAGGAAAATGAACATTTCCAGAAAAATACATAAAATAGTTTCCTTTTCGTTGGACGAGCCACTGAGCCAGTTCCGTAGCTTCATCTCTGTAGCTTCATCTGCAGGGAGCGAGCGAGCGATCTTCCGTTCCATTGGAGGAGGAGACGAAACAATGGCGGAAAGCGGAGGAGGAATTGCACACAGGCTAGCCAGCTGGAGGTGCTGCTGCGTTTTCAAGGAGTTGAGTTTTATCGAGCGGCGGCGAAGAACCCGAACCAATCTCCGAAACGCTTCGATGATTCCTCCTTTCAACAAGCACCTCTTTGGCTCCCGCTGGCGATCGCTAGGCGTCAGCTACCGCATTCTGAGGTCAGCCTCTCCGTCTCGAGACTTCTGGCGAGCTTCGTGTTTGGTTCCTTGGAAAATAACCAAGTAGACGAAGTTCCTCGCGTCTCCCTCGCCCTATCCTGATAATTTCCCCTTAGCTGTCGAGAGTTTTTTTTAGCATTTCAGTTATTGCTTAGGGCATTGCTTGCAATTTGTCCCTCTAGTTTGGCCAAATTTCCATGACTGGAGTTGTAGTTAGTTTGTGAGAATGAAATTGCTTGTGGTCAATTGAATCAATTTGCTGGTTTTCATCATTAACGTATTACTGTATTAGTGCTTGAGCCGCCATGTTGGTAAGTTCCAAGTATTTAATTCAATTCACGTCTAAGGAGAGGAGGATTAGGTCAACAATCATGTCTTAGGATTGATCTAAGAATGGGGTTCTACTCTGATATCTTGATGCTCTCTCCTTAGCATGGATGCTCGAGAGAAATCAACTTCTACTGTACTTGAATCATCAAAGCACAAGAGGGTACTGGTATTCGTTGTGATGCCCGTGGACACGTTTGGTGCTGATGCTTCTGGGAGTCTAAGGATCAAAAGGTGAGATTGAATGCAATGTAGTTATGAAATTGAGGTTGTTTTTACTGTCCGCGGTGTAGGGTGCAGTAAGGGGTCTTTTCTGCCTTTCTGTTAACATGGTTGTGAATGCCCTGATAATGACACGTCGATGGAATGGTCGGACGAGTCTGATTATTGAATTGAATGCACTTCTAGTATCTTCAGGCGTATGTTACAAATTTACAATATCATTATATGAAATTTTGGATGTGATGCTATATTCTCTGTTTCATATTATCGTCTTTGGTGGTGAACTGGAGTGACAACCCCTGCTCTATTTTCCTTGGTTTCAGACTCAAGGCATTAACTGTATCTCTAAAAGCACTCAAGCTGGCTGGTGTGCATGGAATTGCGGTAGAGGTTTGGTGGGGAATTGTGGAGCGTTTTGCTCCTCTTGAATATAATTGGGGCCTTTATGAAGATCTTTTCGGATTGATTTCAGAATCAGGGTTGAAGTTGCATGTTGCTTTGTATTTTCATTCAAATGTACATCAGCATAGAAAGTGGGGTGTGAGTCTTCCTCTGTGGATTGTTGAGGTACACTTTCTTCAACTATGTTTTACAGTTACACTGTTGCCCCAGTTTGATTGCCTATTCATTGATTTATGTCAGAGCCAGAGAAAACTTCATCATTGTATGCATTTGCTTATCTAATATATCTCCTTGTCTAGGATATAGGTTTCCCTGCAGCATATTGAATGTCGTATATCGGATATTTGACCTTTTTTCCTTCATCCTCCAGACCCTAGGGTGACATTGTTTTGCCGCCACATTTTCGGTCCATGTTTTATTAACTACTTGCATGCTGGGCATGTACCCAAAGCAAAACAGTACCAGGACTTATGCCTTTCTCATTTTCATAGATTGGTAAAAGCAACAAGGATATATACTACCGAGACATAAGTGGTCTGTCCAATGCTGATTATCTCACACTAGGAGTGGACCGACTACCTCTATTTTATGGACGGACTGCTCTCCAATGTTACGAGGACTTCATCGTCAATTTCGTTAACAAATTTGAGCCCTATATTGGGTGTATAATTGAAGAAATAAGTGTTGGTCTTGGTCCTTCTGGGGAGCTAAGGTACTTTAAAGCTGTTAATGAATGACGACAAGTGATGCAGTTCTACGGCATTTACTCATGGAGAACATGCAGGTATCCAGCACATCCTCTGGGTGACGGAAGATGGCAATTTCCTGGAATTGGTGAATTCCAATGTTATGACAAATATATGTAAGTGTTGAACTTGTCCTGTTAATTCGAAGCTCAATATTTACATGTCTATTTAACTTTCAGGATGGAGGACTTGAGGATCGCTGCATGTCAGGTGGGAAAGCCGGAATGGGGAGATAGGGGACCCCAGAATGCTGGTTGTTACAATAGTCTTCCACCAGGGGTACCTTTTTTCGGAGATGGACAGGAGAACTTTATATCGGATTATGGACGCTTCTTCCTTGTATGTATTTTTTAAAATTACTTGTTAAGCTTTAAATTCTTATAAAGGGTTTGCCCCTATATTCACGTAAATATCTGGATCATTTTGTTTCATGGTCCGACATTTACATGCTTGGGGATGGCTGTTGTTTTTAATGCCGGTTCTTTCATTAGCATCTGGCCGAATGAGGTTCAAATTCTTATTTTACTATTATTTGGATGTAGCATAGGTTACATATGTAATAACCAAGGAAGTTCTGAGACTGCAAGTGAAAGAATGTATGTTCTATGAGATAGAGATGAGGTACATTATTCACAAACACATTAGATGGACAATCTTTTATCATCAATCCCTAAACTTATTAAAATCACGACCCTTGACTTATGGAGCTGATGTTTCTGAGTTAGCAACACTGGAATTTACTGTGTTCTATTTGTATTGCTAAATAAATAGTGTAGTCCTTGGAGTGAGTCTATGTTAACTACTCTTAGGACCATACAGAATGGTGAGAATCTCATCAAGGTGTTCCTCTTTGTAGGAATGGTACAGTGGCAAGCTAATCTGTCATGCAGATGCTATCCTGGCTAAGGCAGCTAATGCATTGAGGAAGTATCAGCAAACTGTAGAAACATCGGTTCTATTGGTGGCTAAAATTGGTGGAGTATACTGGTGGTACCAGACTATATCGCACCCTGCTGAACTTACAGCTGGTTACTACAACACTGCTCTCAGGGATGGTTATGATCCTCTTGCATCAATGCTGTCCCGTCATGGTGCTGCTTTGCATATTCCGTAAGACTCTGATACTCACCTTCTGCATCTAATGCTGTTGCACTGGAATTTATGACACTTGTACGAAATATATGTAATCATTGTGAGTTGTAGGCCATACTATATTGTCTTTGTTTGATATATTGGATCTTATAACGCGTGGTGTGCAGACCTAACTTGTTTCTGTTGCTACTTCCCCTTTAGAAAGGCTGCTGTTTTGTTTTTTGTTGTTATTTTTCAAGGGAGTGATATATGTGACTTGAACTACATGTGCTTTTATTCAACTATTATAGTTAACTCTGTTTTTACAGTTTCAAATGTTGTGCCTTCACGCATGCTCATTCGTTTTGTAATTTTCTAGCAGCTGCTTAGAAATGATGGACAACGAGAACCCACTGTCTTATCGTTGCAGCCCTGAAGGCTTACTTCAACAGGTTTTGCTTCTTTCTCAACGGGCATATCTAATTTCTGTGGACTGAGTTTAGAGTTCTAGGTAGCCAGTTTCTTAACCCAAGTTACTCTGATCAGAGCTTATGTGATCGTATCTTTTTAGCATTTCTAGCTGAGTTGATTTTTCACTGATACAGATATGCAAAATTTCAAAGAAAAGAATACATTTGATTAGACGAAATGCTAATGAACGGTTGGATAAGGTAAAAGGATATCTTGTTTAGTAGCATTGCCTGTTCATGTCCACTTGTATGATTTCCGATCTAGGGAGGGAGGATTCACTGAGTCTGCTTTTTGTTTATGATTGCTCTTTTCTCTCAAGATTTTTCTCGATATGATGAATATGTGCCATTTTCTTGCAGACAGGATTGAGGCAAATACTGGCCAACTGTAATCACCCTCAGGCAGAAGCTGTAAGGTCATTTACTTATTTCAGAATGAACGAGAAAATCTTCTCGGTAGAAAACTGGAACAATTTTGTTCCCTTTGTTAGAATGATGAATTCAGATTATTGAACTTCTCAGGTATGTTCTAACCATTAATTGTAAAGAAAAACACTGCATCTCCTTCCATCTCATCTTTTTATATGAGGGTGGGGGAGGTTGTTAATGACGATTTTAGAGTCATTGCAGATCAAATCCCTGTGTCTGGCCTCAGTTACTGATAAGATTTCTGGCTTCTGATAAAGTTCTAAAAGAATCGTCGCCATTTTATACCGTAGAAATCACATTGGTCCTTAGATTTCTTTCATATTGGATGCCGTCTTTCTGAGTTTGATCTGATTGGGGCAGCTCCCCCGGTTGCCCATTGTGGCCGAGGCTGCTGACAGGCAAGTTCTTTGAGGACACATTAATTGTGTAGAGGAACAAAGTTCTATCTGGGTTTCCTTTTGGTTAGTTTGTTGATGCTTATAGTAATAGTGACGCAGTTCAATCACTCACAACCTTGTTACATGAGCTGGAATTCGGTCGAATTTGTTCTTGGAACAACTGGTACAGTGGTACCAGTATATGAAGCTATGAATGATATTGTTGTTCTTGTTGTCTGTATATTCATTCACGGTGGAACGTGGGAATATCAGATCAATGAACGGTCTGCTGTCATTGAGAAGTTGGTCTCGTTGTCTACCTTGCTGTAATTTAAGGTTCTTGAATATGGTTTGCAGTTCAAGATGAATGGATGGACAAATAGAATTTGGGGTAGATAAGGAAGAAGCAGCTGTAAGGTGAATATGCTGCTCGTTTCCCATGTATGCCATAGATGTGAATATGTTGCTTTGTTGTGCTGCTAAGTGCTGTCTGTAACTATTAGAGGTTAAAAGGCTTAACTATCCCTTTCCCAACAACTCGAGTTATTGGGACCAAGTGTTAGAAACAAAGTTTCTAACGGATGTGATATTTGGGGATTAGGGTTTATACGAATAGAATTAGGGATTGAGATTGGGGATTTGGGGAAGAAGAAGAATAGAATAGAGAATCGGCCGAGGCCTTGGAGGGATAGGGATCGAGAATTGAGAGAATAGGGAGAGATTAGGGTTTAGGAGATTATTTGATAATTCTTTCTTGACTGATTCTGAATTAAACGCAAAATACATATTTATAACGAAAGACTGGAAAAACCTAATAAACTATCCTAATTTGACTCAAATACTACTAACCATAATAAGAACCACCCTATTAGTAATTATAATAATAAATGTAGAAACCCTAATGAAATTGGTTTCTAACATCTCCTCCCCCTTCAGACCAACTTTGCCCTCAAGGTTGACTGGACCCACTCCTGCTTGCTCCGTGTTGTGCGCTTCCTTTTCTTCCAATCAGGCTCCAACTCCGGTTTTGGGCTTCTTGCACCGATCTTCCTGTGCCGAATTGGCTCTTCGATTTTCACTTCTTTGGGCCCGCTAATTGCTTTCCTAACAAATTCAAACTCCAACAGCCCCTCTTTCGTTGGCTCCCCACTCCCACCACTCAAGGGCTTCAAGGATACTTTCTTGTACAAGAATTTATCATTGAGTACCAACTCATTAAGGCCCTCAAATATTTTTCTTGTAGCTGACCCATTACCGGCCTTGGTTGCTTCTCCACATATTTTTGGGCCGTGCTCTTCCAAAAGTCCATCTACTACCCTAAAAGAATTGTCATTCAAAGCCATTGAGCCCATTTTCTTCAAAACACAAGCCATGTGGGCCTTTATTCTCTCCTGCAGACCCGATCCACTTTCTTCTAATATTAGCCCACGTTCGTACAAGGGAAAACTCACCAGATAGCCTAACTTGGGCCCAATCTCTCTCTTGTTCGATCTGGTAATACCCAATATTTCCGGCCCAATCTCTGACCCGGACTCGGCCCGATCCCTCGCATATTGCGGCCCGCTCGTCCTAGCCATCAGGTCTGAATAGAGCTCATATACCTCTTCTTCCGTTTCCAGCCAATCCATACGTCGTGGCCCACCAAAGCTCTCTACCCAACTCGTTCTTCCGGGCCCAAGAACAAAAATGAACCGCATAGCTTGGCTCACTTCGGCTGGCCCATCCTCTTTCACAGCTTGAATCCCTTGGCCCATGTTCTCAGGCTTTTTGCGGGTGCGACATAGGGTTGCAGGCAGAATGCTGCCACCGCCGACATCCCGCGTCTCGACACTCAGCATCGGCCCGTCCGTCTTCGTAACCTTCGTCGACGGTTTCGACCCTGTCCCCGTCTCCATTTCCGGCAAGTCGCCCATCCCGTGGAGAAGAGGCAAGCTTGACCAGGTAATCATCGCCATCGACTCCGCCTGCTCGTCGCTTGAAGTCCGGCCGGAAGAAGAGAAATCCATGCCGCCCTTCTTCGACCCCAACGCTGGCCCATCAGACTCGGAAGCCCAGACATTCGAGTGGCCCGAACTCCCCTGCCTCTGCACGGCTCGACCCAAGGCTGGAAACCTAGGGTTCATGAGAACGCCGCCGCCGCCGCAGACCTCCTCCTTTGTCTCATCCGTCGAGCCGAGCCTCCGTCGAAAATTCCCGTCAACACCCCTCGTCGTCTGCGACGGCGCCTCCTTAACGGTCGCAACCACAACAGAAGCCGCCAGCATCTTCTTCCTCGTCGCCGATTCTTTCTTCCTTGGCAACTCCATCTTCGACTGTGCTTCGTTCTGGCGGCCAGGAGCCACGCCAAATGCCGACCTCGGCCTTGGCTTCACTTTCGTCCACGGCGGTGCGGACGGCGCCCCCGATCTTCGCGCATCTTGCGCAATTTGCGACGCCGGTGAACGGCCCCGTTGATTTAGTTGGTCGAGCTGGGGATCCAACGCCGCTTCTGCCCCTTCCCGTCGGCCGATGTCGCCGCGAACCTCCGCTGACCTCGATCGAGCCTCCACCAGCCCAAGTGACGGCGAGTTCGCCGCCGCTGCCGAAGGATCCCGACGAGTCGGCTCTGCCTCTACCTTGCGCCATCGAACGTTCGTCGTCCCCTGCAGCTTGGTCGCCCGCTCTGTCTCCCCGAGGAAGGGACCCCATGAACAGCGCCCCTGCGAGACGAGCTTGTGACGCAGTGCCCCTTTTTTTGCAGAATCGGACGATCCCAGGAGCAAGGGTGGCGGATCGATCCTTCCCCCATCTGCCTTCGCAACGACAGCCACCAAGGGTGGATATTTGCCTGCCTGTGACGCGACGTAGCCCTCTCGCCGCATTTGTTCATCATTTATTCTTGGTGAGTCAAACACCTTGATTGGTGGTTCCACAACGGCGCTCGACAGCAGTGGTTGCATCGTCGTGGTGATTTCAGCCGCAGGTGGTGGTGGGGGTTGGGTCACGGTTGTGGACGGGAGGTGTTGTGATTTTTGGAACTTGAAGGATGAAATCAGTTGTCCCAAACTTAGTGCGATAGTGCTCGATGTCGTGGATTGCTCTGAATTTGATTTGCTTTTTGAATCGGATCCATATGCTACCATCAGTCAACGGTCGTTGTCCTGTTATTGCTAGCACATCAGATCCAACCACCTGCACGTTTACGTGCTCCTCCTCGAACCCAGGCAAGGTGAGGAACAAGACAACGCTACGTCGTAGCTCCATCCTTATGGTCTCAGGTTTGAAGTCTTCATATACTTGTTCGTCCCCTGGAGAGAGTTGTGGCGAACTCAAAGTTTCGACCATGGCTCTGATACCAGATGTTAGAAACAAAGTTTCTAACGGATGTGATATTTGGGGATTAGGGTTTATACGAATAGAATTAGGGATTGAGATTGGGGATTTGGGGAAGAAGAAGAATAGAATAGAGAATCGGCCGAGGCCTTGGAGGGATAGGGATCGAGAATTGAGAGAATAGGGAGAGATTAGGGTTTAGGAGATTATTTGATAATTCTTTCTTGACTGATTCTGAATTAAACGCAAAATACATAGTTATAACGAAAGACTGGAAAAACCTAATAAACTATCCTAATTTGACTCAAATACTACTAACCATAATAAGAACCACCCTATTAGTAATTATAATAATAAATGTAGAAACCCTAATGAAATTGGTTTCTAACACCAAGTGGTTAGTTCGCTAACATGGTATCAGAGCCTAGAACCGAAAGGTCATGGTTTCGAATCCTCATAACTACCCCCATTTCATGCCAATTCGTTTAGCACAAGGAATGGTATGTCCAACCTGTGCAAACTAAAGCCTCGTGGTTTGGCAGCACAAGGGTTCAACCTGTGCAAACCGTAAAAATCCACCATTCGGCATCGGCTTTCGTTTGAGGGGGCGTATTAGAGGTTAAAAGGCTTAACTATCCCTTTCCCAACAACTCGAGTTATTGGGACCAAGTGGTTAGTTCGCTAACAGTAACCTTGGAACGCTGGTGGCTTGCGAATCCAAATGTTATATTTCTCATTAGAGATCTCCAGCGTAAGCACGTGAGAATCTTTTGGAAATCTCACTCATTACCTGGAACACTTTGCTCGCACACAATGTTCATAAAGCAGTGAAATGCCCGAGATTCAACCCGAGGAGGTTTGGCTGGGCTATTAGGGTTAGAAGTTTGCACTGAGGGAGCTGTTAAGTTGACAAACTTTTGGAGATGATCATGATGGTAGTTAATGATAGAAGACAGCAATACACGGAAAGATGGAAGTGTTGAAAAGTAACTCAAGTAGTGTGGTTCAGGAGTATAAATTGTAAGCAAAACGACTTAGATGCATTTATTTCGATTTCGTGTTTGCGTCTAGGGCGAGGGTTGCCTATATATCAAGACTTGTTATGTGAACTTGTCTAACAGGGTTATCGCTTGAATCTCATTCCAGAGGTTCCTGAGCTTGGTGTAGAAAAGCTTGACATACTTGGTTTCTCTTGCTGCAGAAGGAGCTGGAAAGTAAAGACTCTGTGTGCTTTCCCCTCACCTTCCCGAAGTGCAAACCCCTCAGCTAGCCCTTCCTAACCCATTATCTCAATTCATGAATATTGTGGACAAGCAAGGACATGTGGAGCTAGAGTGCTACACCATGAATAAAGGAAAAGTGTTGCCCTCTTCCTTTTGGTCCAACTAAAAAGCCAAGGTATCAAAAGTAAAAGGAAGACGAGGGGAAAGCACACCAATTGGAGAGGGGGGAGGGGGCTGATTTTCTAATTCCTTTTCTTTTCCTTCCCCACCAAACAAGTATGGAAATTATTGTAAATGGCAACACAACTTATCACTTACTACAAAATGACAGGCAAAGTCTAATTTTGTACGTGTCAATATAACACGTTTTGGACGGTAACAATGTGCGATCATTCCGTCCATCTCCATCCAAAAATTTATTAGTTTTGTTCAGTTGGCACGCCGCGTCACCAAAAATATTAATAACTTAACTCAAACTTCAAGCACAAAATCCTTCTCCGACTCACACTCGGTTGGCTGTCCGGAAACAAACTATCTATTATTTGTTTATGTGTTTTTTCTTGGTATTGTCATAGCCAGTTGGCGTCGAAAGAGACGACAAACAATCTCACTATCATCTTCGGAAGCAGAGTACAAGCCGCTTGCATATACAGTAGCTAAACTTCAATGGATATCTTACTTGTTCCGTGAACTTCCCATTCGGCCTCCACACCCTCTACAC